GTAAATGATCATTGTTTAACGTGTTAGTAGAGCTTTGGCTGTCAGAGGCTGGCACTGTATCCTTCATCAACAAACAGCAGGCAAGTTGGCAAACTAGAAAGGATGGTATATGTTAACAAGCTCTACAACACTTTTGCATGAATAGAACATGCCACAGACAGATCCAGAGATGCATCCACACTGGTTTAAAATGAATTTCACACAAAGCCCAGGAGGCTTTAAGACACTTTATTATTAGAATTTCTGAATTAATGTTGGTCACAAAAATATGCAAGATCTCACCTACTGTAATTTATACATTTCATATGTGACTTACCAGAACAATTAAAGCCTAAAAGGAGTTTACCAAAGCACAGATGAAAGACATACCCAAAGTTTCTGTAGACACCACAAGAAATACAGTTTAAAACAAGAAAAGCAAGAATAAGATTTGAGTGGAAAAAACCAGCAAGAAAAACACTTATCTACCCTGTTCAGAAACAGTATTAATATCTTATACTTGGCCTCCTTTTGTTAAATCTAATTAGAAGAAAAAAACCCCCACACTCAAACAAACTACCCAATACAGAGAAGTTGTGTCAGCCCAAGAGGAGTCTGTGAATCAAGAAAAACATGTCACTGATCATCTTCCAGTTATTTAACAGGAATATCCAATTTATACATTACAAAAGGAAACTTGTAAAGGAGATGTCAGCGATAAGATCGCTCGGGAACTTGGCATTTGTGTCTGACGTGGAGTAATTAAGTCACCCTTTAGGCTTTTTATTACAGACACTACAGAAATCTGCTAAGAACTGGGATATTCCAACAGTTACCCAAAAACAAGACTGGACTTAATATAAGAGCTGATAATAGTGCAGACTAACTGCCAAAATTTAGAAAGTAACATTAAAACAACTTGGTGACTTCTATATTGTTTTATGTGAAGCAACTACTAGGTACTCACTTGGCAAAAAAGTATTCAGGCACAGAGAGAGCAACTCTCCCAAACACTTCCTCCTTGGAATTAGCAGCTCTCCAGCACAAGACTTCTACTCAAATACAAAGAAAATAAATCCACCTCTCAGTTTCTTACGATCATACAAATGTTAAAATATTGTGATGCAAAAGAATTAAGTGAAGCCAAGAAATGAGAGGGTATTACATTAGAAGGCCTGTGGAAGTTCCAAGCAACTTTAGAGCAGTAACAGTTTCATTGTTGACCCCAAATTCTCAGCCTAGTTTCTAAGTTTCTAAGATCATGACCTAAAAAAGGAATTAAAGAAATAGATAAAAATGCCTGACACTCACCTCACATTCAGTAAGTTCCAAAATTAAATATCTCCTAGCAGTATGCTGTACTACACTTGCCAGTCTTACATTATATTTCCAGGTCACCAACAAATCCATTCATCCTGAAGCAAGGATACCACGACAGCAGTTTAAGAGGCAAGGCTTACAAGTTGAATCCAACTCAGATGACAATTTATTGAGTCTCCACAAGTACACAGTGTTCACCACTTCAGCTCTGCATATACTCCATTAATTGCTGCAACCAAAGCTGTGGAGGAATCCCATGACATTTTCTAGCCACCACCTTGACTGTCCAAAAGTCCAAAATAGTTTCTGGCAATGGACTGTCAAATCTGGGCACCTTGTTACCCTTTGGTGTGAACATTCAGTTGCAGACATGTGCAACAGACCGAATTAAACTGGATAAAAACAAGCAAGGAATTCTTGTAGGTTATCCAGAAAAGTAAGGGATTAAAGAAAAGTAAATAAATAAGGAAAGAAAATACAAGGAAGAAAAACAAAGAGGCAACAGTAATGGTACCAGGCAAGTAGCACAGACCACAAGTGTGACAGTAAAGGATTCAGGCATTTCTTTACAAAGAGTTGTGCTCCTCTGCACTTCTTTGAGTAAAAACTACTATTAAAATCACTGATTTTTATTATTAACACAACTCTGACAGCTAGAACTTCCATCATACACTGAATTCACAGAATGGCATTGGGTCATGAAAGAAATACAGAATATGGTCTTCACCAAATAAATCTTGCAATGGTCTGCTTACAAAGGAATGAACAGCATTTTTATGGAAGATTATCCACCATTTGTTTCTTTAATTCTTTAATCAACCAGCAACAAGGTGTACATTGCAGCAGTGGATTACAGTTATTTTCTCCTGGACCACTGAAGACAAGATATAGCAACAAGAACAAACTATGAAATTTATGTATTGACCTTAAATCTTGATACTTAGATTATCTTGGGTGCAATGACACAGGACAACCAGGGGAATCGGGCCCAGTCAGCAGGGGTTCATGACAGGCAGGTCCTGCTTGACCGGCCTCACCTCTTCCTATGACAGGCTGACTCACCTGGTGGATGAGGAAAAGGCTGTGGGTGTTGTTTACCTGGACTTCAGACAAAGCCTTTGACACTGTTTCCCCAGTTCTCTTGGAAGAACTGCCTGCTCATGGGTGCACTGTTCACCAGGTAAAAAACTGTCTGGATGGCCGAGCCCAGAGAGTGGTGGGGAATGGAGTTACAGCTGAAGGTTGATCACTAGTGGTGTTCCCTGGGGATCAGTTTTGGGGCAAGTTGTATTTAATATCTTTGTGATTGATCTGGATGAAAAGATTGAGCACACCCTCAGTTTGCAGACTAAACTGAGTAGGGTGGGAGTGTCAATCTGCTGGAAGGTAAGAAGGTTCTGCAGAGGCATCTGGACAGGCTGGAGCAATGGGCCAAGGCCAATGGTGTGAGGTTCAATAAGGCCAAGTGCCAGGTGGGTCCTGCACTTGTGTCACAACAACTCCACACAGCGCTCCAGGCTGGGGGCAGAGTGGCTGGAAAGTGCCCAGAGAAAAAGAACCTGGGGGTGCTGGTCAACAGTGGATGAACATGAGCCCAGGAGGCCAAAAAGGCCAATGGCATCCTGGCCTGTATCAAAAACAGTGTGGCCAGTGGGACTAGGGCAGTGATTGTCACCTGTACTCAGCACTGGTGAGGCTGCACTGAGCAATCCTGTGCTCACTTTTGGGCCCCTCACTTCAAGAAGGGCATTGAGATGCTGGAGCGAGTTCAGAGAAGGACAACAAAGCTGGTGAAGGGTATGGAGCACAGCTCCTATGAGGAGCACATGAGGGAGCTGGAGTTGTTTAGCCTGGAGAAAAGGAGGCTCAGGGATGATCTTATCACTCTCTACAACCCCTGGGAAGGAGGTTGTAGCCAGGTGGGGGTCAGTCTTTTCTCCCAGGCAACGAGGGATAGATAGGGGAAACAGCCTCAAGTTGCACAGAGGAGGCCCAAGTCAGGTAACAGGAACAACTTCTTCACTGAAAGAGTGGTTAAACATCGGAACAGGCTCCCCAGGGATGTGGTGGAGTCACCGTCCTGGAAAGTGTTCAAAAAAGCGAACGGATGTGGCACTTTGCGGTATCTTGCAATATGGATCAGTGGGCATGGTGGTGTTCACTCAAAGGCTGGACTTGATGATCTTGGACAGCTTTGCCAACCTTAATTATTCGATGATTATTTTGTACCTTCCTTTGAGCTGTTAAGAGGTCCCTGGCTATACAGAGATAAAGGATTCAACAGTCACCAAGCTTTAGGATGCACCCTAAAAAAACTCCCCACACACACAAAGGAAAAAAACCAAAACAAACAAAAAAAACCCCGTTGAACTTGCTTCTAAGTTATTCCAAGTGGTTTTGGTACATATTGGCTATTATGTATCAACTATGACTGGTAACTGGAAAAAAACATAGGGCACGAGGAAAAAAGGTTGCAGGAAGGCTCCTTTATTTCATCTAGAAATTTCAGTAATGATTTAACTTATCTGACTCAGCTGTAGCCCCATCTTTGAAGCTCCCTATGTTGAAGATTCTAAACCAAGAGTGTCAAATAGAGAGAAACTGAAAACTGCCATCATCTAATTCCTGCACCTTAACACAAAAATGTAATTTTTCAAATCTTAATTTGCCAAGGGATTGCTAACCTGCTCTCCTCTACTTTTTCTTCACGTACACAAACATTAGCCAAACCTTGATCCCACAGGAGCTGAAAAACCGAAAAGCATGTTTTTAATGGCCCAGAAAATGTAATAACTGAAGTGTCAAATGCTTGAGGAGTCTAATAATCTTTTATCTTTGAACAAAAAAATCATCTAAAAGAGCTGGAAAAAACATACAAGTTTCATTTGGGATTAAAAACAAACATTGTAATTAGTTAACACATTATCGTCCAATCAAGGTTTCCTTTGAAGAGGTAGAGGAATTTTCCACTTTCTGGCAGGCACAGTTTTCAAGAGGATACAACTTTCTAGCATGATACATCCACAGCTCCTCACCATCTCTGTTACAATTCCACTTAGCTGTTTAATACCAGTGACATAAGACTGCCAATCCACTCTTCCATTCCACCTTCATGTTTGAATACAGTCTCCATTTTGGAGACTACAGGATAAACTGTGTTCTCCCCTGTACCTGCAGATGACTGTCATCATTATCCCTTGAAAATTTACCCCGATAACTTTTTGCCCAACACTTTCAGTTACATTTCTTGTAAAGTTTATCAGAGTTCTGAAAAACCACTTAACTTGTATCGGGGCTCAGTTGTCATGTATGATCTTAACTCAAAAGTGAAAACTATGGAAGTACAAAAGTTCTTACAGCTGTTGTTAATATTCTAACTCAATACCTCACCTGAATGCTAATCAACAGCAAACATAAAGGAAGGCTACGAGCATTTTGCCTGAAAAAAACCAAAGTTAAACACAGTTTCTCTTAACTTACCTTAAAAAGGAGAAGATTTCAAGTTTTAAATGTGTTACCCCCAAAGCAGCCTAAACTTGTTAATCTTGCCTCTGAAGAAAACAGTCTGACCTTCAGTACTGAAGGAACTCAAAAAAAGATTAATACCTAATTCTTCAACATGGCATTTAAATTGCAGACATCAGAGATAATGAACCAAGGCAAAGGGGATTGCTGGATTTGGGATTACAGCAGAGATCAAGTCGGGTTAAAGCTGTGACAGCACTCTGACATTGTTGTTCATTGCAAGTATGCAGAGTAGGTGTCAAAATTCCCTTTGCCACATTTAAAACAAAGTTTAATTAAAAAAAAAACCAATCTTTATTTTGGATATACTTATTCCATTTGCTCCTAAGAAAACAAGTGATAATTCTTTAGAAGATTCTTCCCTCTCACATGTACGTCAGGTTCCACCACGTCCACCCTCAGGAGGCAAGAAAGACTGCACAAGCCTTAGGAAAAGCCTGCAGTTTACTCCTTAGTCACCATCTAATCCAGTCATGCCTCTGCTCAAGCTCTGTCAGTCATTTTAAGGGAAACCACTTGTCCCCTGGCTGGCAGTTGGCCAGTCACTTCTGCTATGCTTTATTTAAATCCTTCACTGTCCACGGGGCTCCTCCAATGTGAGATATTAATGGCTTAAGGCAATCACAGTCAAGTAACTATTCTAGGATATCACAGGGAAGCCCTAAACCAACGAAGCAAGAAGCAAACCTGAAACCAGAGATGGGTACTGATGCCAAAGACTCGACCAGACAGGAAAACTAAAGGAATCAAGGCTGTAATTATAAGAGGATTCAGCCTTTATCTTCAGTACACTGTTTGGCTTTATTAATATTAAAGGAAACATAGACATAAAAACAATTTCAAATATAATATTTTATTCAAATAGAATAGCCCCACTCATTTAAATTTTTAATTTTTTGAATTTCGAGTGTTCAGGACTGAAAAGAAATCCATAAAGTTTGTCCAGTTACAGCAGGGATTTTATAGTTTATATTCCTGTACATAAATGCCACAGCTTTTCCTATCTGAACTCACAACCGCTGAGTTTTCAGCAAAAATCCAAACTTGCACGATCTTGAAGGTGTGATAAAATATTTGGTTTGATATACAGACACACTACACTATTGACGTAGCAGCAGATAAACAAAAGGTGTCTCCCAGAAAAAAAAATTGTCATCCAAGACAGAATAAGACATACAGATCCAGTAGAAACACCAAAGAAAGCAGTTTGCCAAGCTGCTTAAGAAGAAAGTATGATCAGAGATAAAAACAGTTTTACTGCAAAATCTTTTTCCTAACTTTGGAGGACAAAAGAAGCCAAGTCAAAGCTTACACTGATAATACCATTCATAGATATGTATCTATCCCCACAAACAACCTCACACGAGTTTGAGGAAGACATAATAAAAACCAAAATAACGAGATTACTTTAAACTTAACTCAATAGTTACCTCTGTAATATGTGTGACTATTCACATTTTCTGTTCTATTTTATGATCTCCCTAATAGAGCTTGCAGTGTCAGGTAGACAAGAGTAAATAAACAGTGCCAGAGACAAACACAGTGAGATTTTAAAACAAGGTGAGGCAGAGAATTGATTGTGCCACATATAGAAAACTAACAAATTAATCTTATTTGAAGGAGAAAAGCAGAACCTCATGTAGATGAGAAACCATAAGCTCTCATACAAAACAATAAGAGCTCTCACTGCAAGAACTTGCATAAACACAGCAATCTGTAAATAAAACTTGAGAGAAAAGCAGTGACAGGAACAGAAGTGTTAACTTTATGAGCTAAGGTACAATTCACAATTTTGCTTTTGGCAGTTCCCAGCTGCTGCTCTTTAGAGGCAACAACCCAGCCTGCTTATGCAATCACTCCGGAGCTGCATTTCTAAAGCTTGCATCACTCTCGAAAATTCTCAGAACCCTGTAATTTTAAGTGCATAAATGAATAATGAACTCTCCAAAAGCCAAGGAAAGGACTTTCCCAGGAAGATTCTGAAGTAACTCAGCCTTTAGCAGGGGAACAATAAAGTTCTGCCACCACTAAATCACAGTAAGTTCTGATGTAATCAAGAGTTCACATTGGGAAGTCTTTGGGGTAAGACAGGTTGCTCCTCCATTGCCTCTGGAGGAGTCACAAAATATTTACAAGGTACTAATTTATCTGTTCCACTTATGTTAATGTATTGCACATGCCTCTTCACTGGAGTTTATTCAATTCCTGGAGCTAAGGAGGAGGCAACAGTAGCTTTCTTCTCAACTTTAAAGATAACTGCAATTAAGTTTCTAAATCAATCCACCCCATGACTGTGCTGTTACATGGACTAACCCTACTCTAATGAAAATAAAACCAGGGCCAGGCTGTCCAGAAAATTTGTAATCCAAGTACACAGGAAGGTAGAAAATATGAAAGACTGCAAGGGAACAGACATATCAATGACAAATTACAAAAAATACCCCACAAACCTGAAACAAACAAAAAACAACCACAAATCTTTATGCATAACAAAAGAAGAGTTTTAGAGTATTTTAAAGAAGGCAACTTGGTAAATATGTAGTGCAAAACCTTATCTAAAGAGTATGGGAGAAAGCATAAAAAGTGACTGAAGTTTGTAACAAGTGACTAAGGTGTCGTGGGATTATCACAGTTAAGGGTCAACATCTTAATAACAAAGAAATTACATCAATTTACAGTTAACAGGATATTAAAGAGAAACAAAAAACAAAGCATATACACTGATCTTGTTCTTTGGGACACTGATGGACATAAACTGGATATCAGACACTTATGATCTTCTCCAATTTAATCACTTCATTAATAAGAAGGAATTTTTTCCCCTTCATTGGTGAATATGAACATAGAAAATCCAAGCAACTGCACACAGTAAATTGTGTCACACTCCTGTGAAAGAATAACCATTGCAGATTTGGAAAGTAGAGTAACACAGAGAACAAAGGAAATAAAACTTCACTCAAAACATTAAGACTAAGTATGCAAACATCACTGAGAACCTGGAGGGACTACAAAGTTGCACAGTTTTCACCAGGAATTAAAATGGATTATACTCAAGCTATTATTTAGCATCTCGTACTCTGTCAAATGAAGAAAGATAAAACTACCCAAAAGACTCAAAACATTCATTATGCAGGTAAAATATTTAGTAGGTAATTAAAGCTCTTTCAGCTTCTGCTTTTCTCTGCAACAATTTGGAAATAAAACAGATTTTTCCCAGAAAACAGACAATGCTCCAAACACTTCAACACAAAGAAACAGAAGAGTGGTCCATCCAACAAAACAGAATTAATCACTGGCTGACCTACATACAAATAGAAACAGAACAGTCACTTTACAAGAAGACATTAAATGACCTAAAGCTACATTGAAATATAATTTGCTATCTATAGACACACTCTCCTGAGGTTGCCTTCAATTAGGCCAATTTAATTCTCAGCACTTCCAGGTACTATAAAACCAAAAAGAACTAGGGACTTCAGCAAACAGTTCTCCAGAACAAGACCAGTAAAAACTCTGCCAAGTTAATTGGTATCCAATATTCCTGCAAAATTAACAGAAATAGTTAAAGAATTATATTCTCTGTAATATTTCCAGTCAAGCACTCCTGCTGCTGGATCGACGAGGAGCGTGAAACACAGGCTTTCTTTTCTCTCTTAAGTCATTTGTGAAAATTAGTCACTTAAAGGTACAGTACTTGTTACCATGCTTTCAAACTTTAATTTATTTTTTGAGTAGTCTTCAAAAAGCTAAAAGCAAGTGCTATCAACATCTGTAGAATCAAAAACTCCCTCTTTAAAATACGATTTGTGACACTCCAAATACAAGGAATGAGTAAAGCCTAGGACAGCGCAGTCTTTTGAAGTTTCTGAACTTCCTGAATTTGCTTGTTCCAAGAAGATCACACGTAACACTGAAAGCCTGAACTCTACAGGCAGGAAAAAAACCAATCATTATATCAGTTTCCTACTATTGCTCTTCTGCAACTCTGTGAGCATTAGAAAGGAGTAAGAGTACTTCTCTTGGAAGAGGGTTTTCCAAAATGCAGAAAAGGAGCTACAGCAGTCACAGAACCCCAAGTGAAGAAAACAAATCCCCTTCCTAATTTCCGCAAAAAATGGCCACAGATCCTTGTGCCTCATCAGATGTATCTCACAGCTGTATCAGGCTGAGACAAACACAAAAGATGAGAACATACGTGGAAATGAAATGGACCATGTTATCCTCCAACAGCAGCCAACAAACGTATTAACTAATGTATTTGCTCCTCATGTAGTTCATAAAGGTCCCTTGCCACAAACTGTTAACCAAGTTGAGCAAGCAAAGATCACTATCAGTTAGAAAGTAAGTTTAGATGGCTTCATATTTTTAGGGGGTTTAGACACAGCAGATTCACTCAAGTGTTATCTGTAGAGAGGAGAGACAACAGCAAAGATACATTAACAGATTATGCTGCAACATATAACAGTACCATGCTACTTAGTGTAAAAGACTACACTGCAGTTGAATATAATTTCCTGTTCACAGAAGCAGGTTGGAAACAGTCAAGAACAATGTGACCTGTACATCTTTCTCTACCAATTGATTATCCTAAGTTTTTAGGTTCCACCAGTGTATTCAGTAATGCGTTAGGTGTAAAGGGCAAGGCTTTGGGAACAGTTGCAGATGTATTTTAAATAAATCTGAGAAGGCCTGGAGGAAAAAGAAAGACAATGCAGCTCTACTGCACACAACAGTTTACTAACAGTTTTATTAAAACACCCTTGAGCAGGGAAGTTTAAGTGCCAATTCAGAAAGTATCAGCAGTTCACACGAGGGCTTAAAACAGGAAAGTCACACAGGCCAGCACACAGCACTGCACAAACAGGCTGCACAAATAGGTGCTGTCACCAGCCCTTCTTCCCATGTAACAAACTTATAAACAGCTCAGTATCACTTAGTGTGAAAAAGGGAAATCTGAGTCTGAAAGGAGGTGAGTGTTCTAAGCCTGCACAACAAGAAGGGAGAAAGGGGAAACAGCACAGTAAAAAAGATCACAAAGTAGGCAAAGTGTCATTCAGGATCCATCACAAAAGAGGCTGAAGAACATTGTGAAGAGTTGTGAAAATGACACCTTATCTCAAAACAGAAAAGACAGTTCAAAAATGGGATTTGATTTCACAAACTGACAAGAACAGAAAACAATCAGGGAGTCAAAGATGCAGAACTAGGAAAGACGTGCAAATCAAAGGAAGAAGCAGACTGTACTGAAGGGGAATTGTTGCACAGATACTGAATTTGAAAAATAGAGATTATTTGTACTCTGGTATTCTTAACCATAGTTAGCATTAATCTTAGTTATTTTCTTTGTTTGTTTTGGTTTTTTACTAAAGGAAAATAACTTAATCACAACTTATTGGTGCCACCTATTAAACTGAGACATTTTACCAAACTCAGGTTTAGTTTATGCCATTCAAGGATTCATGAAGAATTCAGAGAAGAATAAAGATGAGCCATATGGTTTGAAAACAGGCCCTACCAAAACTCTGATACAATGCAGAGGGATCAAAACCACTGTAATTACAATATTAAGAATTTTACACAACATTAAACAGGTCCCAGCTTCCATTCTAAGTGAACACTTAATTGCCAACACTAGAACTTCAATAAAATTAGCAATTGGTTTTCTGCAAAAGATGCATTGCAAATTTCCAACGTCTCCTAATTATCACAGACTTCCCAATGAAAGGAAAGCAAAATGAAATATAGTAAAGCATAAAAAATACCACAATGCTTTCAATTAAGGTTTTCACTGCTATGGAGTATTCCAAAACCTCAAAAGAGTTTTCTTTATATAACCTGTGTCATGGAGAAACTACTGACTTATCATAATGCTGAGGTGATGTCCATTCAGGAGTTGGTTATATAAAGTAATATTCAAATGTTATTTAAAAGATAGAATATTTTAGGTAAAGTTCTTCAGGGCAGGAACTGACTTGTTTCTTGTATTTATATACAGGAATGTAAATACTGAGTATCAAACAGAGACATCTGTCACTTTGTTACAAGCTAATAAAAGGGTACTCAAAAGATTAAATTAGAATTCCAACCTAGTTTCAGTAGCTTATAAACAATCATGTCAAATGTTTGAAGAATTATCTAAAATCTCATTACCAAAATACTGCTAACATCTGTAAGTAAAAGGTTCGTAGCACTAGCTAAAGAAAGATCCCTTATCCTGACAGAAGTCAAAGCTCATTAATTGCTGTAACTGGCAATACAACCAGAAACAGCTGTTCCTGAAGGGCTGTAAATTTTTTAAAGTCATAAATGTACATAAAAGCAAGCATAAAAGTACACACAATGCAGCACTGGAAAAATTACTGCTACTTATAGGGTCTGCAGGTCCCAAAATAAGTCAAGCAGATGCACCCCTGCAGAGCACCAGTGACTTCCAGTACTAATTCCCAGTTGCTCCCAATCAAGACTCCAGTCCAAGGCACAGCAGAAGTAAGTGCATCCAACCCCCAAAGACCAACCCAAGTGTGCATGGAAACACCACCTGCCCTCTGAACCACGGGCCGTCAGCTTTCTGCTACTCCTCATCTCATCTCCTCATATGCCATACTTGCCAAAATTTACTGTTTGCAAACCTTAAAGACAGCAGATAATAAATGTGCACACATTTGTACACCAGTAATATGAACTGCAAACCAAAGAACACTTCTGACTTTAAAACAAGGGTTTAAACAGCTCTTTGGGAAACACTGGGTAACACGGATGGACTTCACACACTGCACAGAAGCTGAGCAACAGCTCTTAAAAAGAAGCCAACATAAAATCTCTGCTAAACCTCATGTACACTCTCTCCCTCAAAACAATTTTTCTGGAATCTTCAGATGTTCTGCCCCCTGCTACAGAGCAGTGAAGTATTACTACAATCATGCAATGCCTAAATCCTAAATCACCATCTTCTCCTTCCACTCAATTTTAGTCCCTTTTACTCATATGACTTTTTGTTTTCTCACCATGAAGGGACATTTTGTCACCTTCTAACTCACTGTTCTATTTTTTTCAAGGCCTCTCAAATGAGAATTTTTCAGAACTGGCCTTTGGCAAACTCAGTTGCACCAACACTAGAGGTGCACTTTAATATCCAAGACTACAAACTTACTAATAACCTTTCATATTTTACAAATTACATGTATTAATAATCTGATTTTTCAATGCACTGTCTGAAAGAAAAAAAAACAAACAGTGGTACCTAATGCAAACACTTTAATCTTATAAAAACAGTGTTAGTTTTCCTGAAACATTTTATTCAAAACAGTTTGTTCATTTTAGTAATATGAATCACTGAACACGTTTAAGAATAAGTAAGGAACAGATATTATGCTTGATACCCCTATGAAGAACAGTGATTAGAGTACCAAGATAGCCTATTTAAGCCAAATATAAAAATCAAGTCTATTTATTCATATAGCATTTTTATTATTGCTGTTAAGAAGTTCTTCTGTTTATCATGGGGTTTTTTCCTAGACTTGTTAGCAGATCCACATTCAATAAAGCCTTAATCTAAAAAAAATCTGTGAAGTGACACTTCAGCATTACCAACAAAATTGACCCATGACTGCTCAGATACCAAGGTGCTAAGCCTGTTAGCAGTGGCTCAATACTAAATTAAACTTCCCCAAGGGAACATCTTACACATACAGCACTGGAAAGCTGTTCATCTCTGCAGAGTACATGAGTTCTCCTTCACAAGTTCAGGGCTGAAATCATATCCATGAAGTTCAGTTAAAAAAAACAACTCCTTTTAAAGTCCTCTCTGCAAGTCATAGGATCATTGACCAGAGGGAATTCAAGTGACTTCTTTCAACTTCAGTGATGCTATTCAGAACCTACACAGTCAGCAGTGAAACAACAGTTTTTTGGTTTTTACCACCTATTCCAAAAAACCAAACCACCTGAAAACATACACAGAGGGGTACTCAGAGGTGACAACAGAAAAGAAGTAGAAAAATAGTCTTGTGGCTTCTAGATGCTGAAAACAAAGGGTAAAAAACTTCCATATTTGTCACGAATATACTGGAGGAAGAAAAAGTTCCACAGCATTTAAAAATGATCCAAGGATTATATTCTTGTGAGAATCACAGCCAAATCTATTTTTCCAGTAGCTCAGTGTCTTCCCTGGCTTTCATTTCTGGGCTTCCTATCTGTTATCCCATTCCTTCCTCTCCTGCCCCTCCCAAATTCTGACAGAATTTCATCAGTAGATGCCTTAACACATTTTTTTTTTTAATTCCTACTTTACATAACTTAGACAATGTTATAAAGTGTTGTGGACTTCAAGCTGGCTGAATAAGCACAGTATCAGTTTACTGGGGGAGCTCCTGTTCTTTGCCTTAAGTTTGCCTAAAAAGGTTCATCAACACAGACTTTGCAAATATGCACCAACTGGCACAACCTGTTTACAGCTCAGAAGCCAAGATTTTTTATTGGCAGTTCAGGAGAAATGTTGTCCTTTAATCCAGAGCATTTAAAGGGTTTCCTAGACTTCTTTAATGCAGTTAAGGATTATTTATATCCTGAGGGATTCTTCCTTTATTGTGGAAGGGAGTATCAATAGCAGGGCCAAGTGACTGTCAAGTTACAAGTGAGTCAGATATAGTCTCCAGCATGTTTTGCAGCATCAACAACCCCAACTGCCTGTGGCTGTGGTAGGTACAATCTAGCAGCAATATACAAAAAGTGGTCTTTCTGTTTGTGGAAAAAGCCTAATAAAGTATAGCTACCAAACCCAAACTTTCAAGCTACACAAAATGTTAAGATTAAAAAGAATGGACACTCCAAAAAATCACTTCACTTGAAAGACGTGGGGTTTATTCTTAGACACACCTGAAACTTAACGAAAAAAAACCAACCAAACA